CATAGCACTCTCCTGACGGAGTTTCGGATACAAGACCGCTTGGACGGGGATCCCGCTGTTCGCTAGCTGCTAAAACAACCCAGCGATCAAGTATCCAAATGGCATATGCCCGCTTGCCAATCGAGAACTTAGAATCCCTTTGGTTCGTACAGCGAAAATTGTTCCGAGTATACTTATTACTGAGACTTGTGAATAGCTCGACTTCGAAAACTGTTCTGCTTTTGGACGGGTTTCGCTCACCCTTTTATACTTGCAGGTTCGCCGAATTCCTGGAATTTCTGTGACGTCAGAATATCTAAATTTTCATATAAATTTGTTATTATACATTAATTAAAAATTTGAACGGTTTAATTGCATTTTAAATGTTGCTCTCTAATTTCTGGCTAACAGTTTGATATTAAAATAACAGTATAACGGTGTTTTAGCGAAAAATACATTTTCTGTCCTTTTCTAATTAACTGCGCACGAATTCTACGAGAGTCGATTAATCAATTGCGTACGAATTCTATGAGAGTCGAATCTATTCCGATTTACAGCTTTTTAATTGAAGAAAATAATTGTGGTTCCGGCCATGAATAGTTTAGTAATGACTGATTTTACGTATATAATTTCTTTTAGTTAATTAATTAATTTAATGTTTGATAATGCCGTAAATAGAAATACTATCGCTATCCTTTTCTAGGATTAGCGCTGTTCGAGAATCCAAACAAAGAGGTAAAAGCAAACCGTTAGAACCGCGAAAAATATACTTTTTCTAGTCACCGTTCCACAACATCAGCAAAAGTCGTTGTCTTGTTTTTCTAGCGTAGCCGTTGTCGCGACTCCAACCGTCAAACCGGCGCACGGCGACAGCTAAGCCAATCAGGCGATCCGCGAAACTTCACTCTTTGTTTGGATCCTCGAACTGCCGCAACGGAGAAAAATTGAATTCTCCAATCGCGGAATTCTGGCGAGTACATATAAGAGCGTGAAACCCTTGGGCGCACCTACTGATTTACGAAGATTCACGTTAACATAATCGCGAACAAGCATCTCTGCGAGATTCAACTCCGTTCAAAGTGACTTAGCTAAGCGCGACTGCGTCGCCACATAAAAGACACTCAAATTCTAGTTTCGCGAAGCCGCCCAAGGCTCGACCCCAATTGTGAACAGTTTAACAAAGACAATTCATTGCATTTCAAACTGTATATATATTTCTTTATGTGTCGTTAAATATAAGGTGTACAGTCAAGTTTTGTCGTGTAATCGTGAGTGTATGAAGTCTGTCGTGAATCTAGCTTATAAAATAAACTTTGTTAATTGTCTATTTGCACTTTTCTTGCACCCAAAAACCAATCCCACGTTATCTAGCTCCTTTCATCAGTTTTGAATTCGACAGGTATTTAGTAAGCAATATATGTTCGTTTCATATCGATCTAGGAAAATCGAATTTTTGACAAATGAACAGCTAATTCGCCGTTCTGGCCCACTGTGCGGCGTGAACGTGTTAGGGAAATGTGAATTTCCTGCGGGTCCTAGGACAGGAGCTCGGAGACATTAGTCAGGTCCCCCTTGTTGACAACCCAAAGGAAATTCTGCCTTACGTCCACTTTCTTTTTTCCATCTCTAAAAGGCACGTCGTACTACGCACGGATCACGCTAAGGGCGCACGTGTTAGGGTGATATCCATTTTTAAGTATTACTGTTGGTACACACAAGCACCAATCAGGACAACCACCCCAGTTTCCTAGTTTTCCTTCTTAGGAACAAATCCTGAAGGAACACTCTCAAAAAATCAAGCAGCCAAGAACAATCTTACACAGATTTCACGATCGCTCTTAGAAACATTTTTACATACTTTACAATTTCAACAGTTTACTTTTTGTATTCACGAATCTGAAAACATTCTACATTACACAAACAATCTTGTATTTTTAGTTTAAGTGTTTGAACATTAAATTTTTATTTTTAAATTAATCAGTATCCACAATTCAGTAACAACCAATCCACTCTATCGCCGTAAAACGCTGTAGAGTCACGCGTTCGAAATTTTCCGTAATTTTTTATTGTGTGCGTAACAGATATCCTATGTATTCCATGTTATGGGCCCATGCTGGTAGCAGTATTCAGCGCACGGGGTACCTAAACCCGTGAATTGTACGTCCATACATAAAGTATAACGATTTTATGATTAATTTAGATTATGCAATTGGAGGATTGTATCTGTTCATTGCGCAGCGTACTACGTTTTCGAAAACGGTAATTTTTATTTTGAAATGATCACCTAAATTATTAAAAAATAGTAGTAGGTTTATACATATTATAATATATGCATAACTCTAACCACAGTAATATATTTTGCATGAGAAAAATTAAAAATTCAAATTCGTTTGTTCTCTTTGAACTCATAGTTTACGTGTGCGAAATTTGATCAAAATTGTTCCGAAATAAAAATAATAATAATAGATCTAGGCACTTCTGAGCCATATTACGCCGCTGCGTACAGGCGCTAATCCCTTCCGCACGGGATTAGTCCTATCGCAACGCCATCGATCGGATCGAAGGTTCAGACGATTACCGTTCCGATTTTAAAATTCAGATCCTTGTAAACCTTTAGCGAAAGCAAACGTCTTAGCAATTTTCAACCTAAATTTCAACCGCTTTTCCGAGTATTTCAACCAGTTTGTATTATCGTTATAATTGTCCATTGTCCCGGGGTGAGCGTGCGTGTGAAGTGTTTAATAAATCATTTTGTGAACGTTTAAATTTATATCTTTTATTTTATTTTAACAACTTCACGTGACAATGCCTAAACATCCTGTGCGCCGTATCCTCGCTTGGATAGAATTAGCGATCCGAGAATCGATCAACCGACTCGAGAAAACTCGTCGGAAAAGGTGATCACGAAACATCATCAGATATTCGTATCTTGTGTTGCATGTACTTGTGTCTCGTGTGAACATCGCTCAAATGTTTGTGTCTCGTATTTTTACGTCTCCTGGGTGCATATTGCTTTAGCAATACAGCAATACCACCACAAAAACTCCTCGTTCCATGTGTTTATGTCTCGATATCCTAGTTTTCGTGAATATCTGCGTCCTCGTATATCCTTCTCTATAAGTACTGTGCGTCCCTGTCTGACATCCAACGTTCTTCTTTGAGGGTTATGTTTTTTGTCGCTGCTTGTTAATTTGTTTTAACTTTATTCTGTAACACTCGTGCCCGAACATCGGACTTCCAATCGAAACGTATGATAGATAACCGTCAAGGACTTTCGTCCTCCTCTACCACGCAGGGGTTTGAACACGATAGCATCTGTTACCTACACAGCTCCTGTCGCAGCCTTTTTAGGGTAGACGGTGCGTGGTATTCGGGACGCGTCTCGGGCACCAGGTCTATGCACGACGTCCCGTCACGCTTACTTTCGGAAACGAGCCGAAACTCTACCAGACGTTCCTTACTGATAGCGGTTTGCTCGGACAACGACCACATACTAGTTTTAGGGCCCACAGCAGTGTGGTCTGGCCATGGGCCTCAGGTGTCTGCACACGTTGAAGCCCTTTGTGCCATCCTTGTTGGAGAAAAATTCGATGGAATTGCATCATGCAGGAGTGGTGGACAAATGGTGCCAGGGTGGCACAAGTCGGATCTCCCACCTCCACTGGGAGTCCGCTGGGATAGGGGCACTCTATGCCTTTCGGTAGTCTGTATGGCACCTCCAGCACGGGATTAGCGGTCCCGAGGTCCTGAGCTTTCATCATACCGTAAGTCTGTGGTCATGTTTCGCAGGAACGGGGGGGCTTGCCTTAAACGGCCGGTCCGCGAGGAGTAAACCTCTATAAAAAAATCCGCTGTGTGGCCGCGGGGCGGAATACGGCCATGATATCCCCTGCCTGTTATAGGAGGCGACTAAAAGGGTGCTCCTGTCGTCCCTGAAGTAAGTGTGAGGATGTGGGAGGCGATGCCGGCGGGG